ATCTTGTGTATATAGCATGGTGACGTATGACCATGTAGTATTATACTTTACATCATTGTCATTCAGTACTGCAAATGCTAAAAATTGCAAGTCTTCATAATCTGATAAAAAGTGTCCCTGTGTGTGAGTTTGAAGTTTGTGATTGAAATATCTTGTGCAAGTAGTGTTTTGCGAGTTGAGTCAAGAGAAGCTAATAATCTATGGACCATTGATGAACACACTGACTTAAGGTTATAGAGCTAGTGAGACTTAACAAAACACGCTGACCAACGTCCAGTGGCAGACCGTCCTTACTGGCCCAACAGCTACTGATGAAGATAAACTATGCAGCAGTGTCGTCTTGCACTCTTGATAAACAAGTAGTTCCAAAATATTGTTACTATTTTTAGTAATTCAATGTTTGCACTAGATTTACTTGTACAATATTCTTAGGACAATTTTTGTTTTCTGGACTAACTGTTCATTATTTTTGTATTCGAATATTTTGTCTCTTCATATCAGTTTTTGCGTTGGTTTTGCATTTAGGTATTTAAACAGTGGTACATATTTACATTGAGGGGTTTAATAAGAATTTCTGGACCAGGCTATATGTACACATTTTGTACTAGTCGTATACTAGAATCGGTGTAATAGTTTATATTCCAGAGCATTTGCTTCAGACTATTTTTGCCAGAACTGTCTGCAGAGTTTTGGCCCCCACTGGTGCATGGTGGCCAATATCTGTCACTATTTGCTGCAAGAAGTGTGAGTGGGGAGGCTATCAGGTGTGGTAATGCTGAAGACAATTTCTAAGCCTTACCTAGTCTGTCCAACACCTATGCTCTGTGTATAGATAAAAAACAAACAAAAATATTTATTCTGTTATTAAGAACTTTTCTTTTTTCACATTGAAATGTATTATTATATATTTCTTATTTTCCAAGCATGGTCGTCAGTACAGTAGCTCCAGTACCCATAAAAGTACAAGGATATCATACATATTCTACACAATTTGTTATGTAAATATAACTTAAACTTTGAGTCTGATCTCTAGTCGAGCTTCGTTAGACATAGCATGGCTCAGTCACTTGACTTACTGTGAGCTTTACTGAAAAATTGATAAATTTCTACATAGATTGTTAAATTGCATAAAAATACTGTTTGTGCATTTGTCAGCGTCAGGATGTAGTAGATGACGTTGGTGTAAGTCATTATGTAGATTGTAGAGTTTTTAGAGCACTTGTTTTATTTAAGACTTGTTCCTCACGAGCAATTAGCAGGGTTCTTGAGATGTCTTTTACCATAATTATTGATATTCACTTCATTTTCTTAAGTTTCTTTTCGTCTGTTGTACCTTGGCATGTGTGCAAAATCTATTTTCTTTCTAAATGACTGTCTTTTTACTATCCTTCCCCTCCTTATTCCTGCATCATACCAACCCTTATCTCCTCCTCTTTCCTACATTACACTGTCACTTATCCTCTGCTGATCTTCGTCTCCTATAATAGTGTTTCTTCTTTCCTGCTGTTTGTTTATTGAGACAATTTGTTTATAAAGTACATGATTGTTGTTAATATCACGTGTTTATTGGGTTGTGTGTGGATGATGTAGTTTTACCATCAAAAACTGAACACATAAAATGAACTTAAATTAACCTTAGCCCCTCCCCTGCTTACCTTAGCCCCTTAGCCCTCCCTGCTTACCTTAGCCTCCTCTGCTTACCTTAGCCTGCTTACCCAGCCCCTCCCTGCTTACCTTTGGCCCCTTCCTCGCTTACTTTAGCCCTCTGCTTACCTTAGCCCCCTCCCCTGCTTACCTTAGCCCCTCCCCTGCTTACCTTAGCCCCTCCCCTGCTTACTTTAGCCCCTTCCCCGCTTACTTTAGCCCCTCCTCCTACTTGCTAAGTGAATCCTATTAATTTCCAAAATGTCTGACCGAGCAACTGTGTCTAACTTCTTTGTTGGTCTCGTTCATTCTTTCTTCCTCCTGAGACCCGGCTAAACTGTACAGTACTTCACAAATGCCCGCTAAAACAATGACAGGTGTATTAGTCCATTGAGTTTACTTGTTTCTATTTAACGTTAATATCAGACTCAGTGCTATTCTATAAATTTGTAATTACAGTAAATTCAGTAATACAATTAAACAATTTTAACTTATTCATAAACTAATTATTATTATAATTAAGATCAAATATAAACTATTTAACTTGACTTTATCCAGAAACCAAATCTGATGTCAATTATATTATCATATTAATAATCCATCACCACCATTTACACAAGTAAATAAAAAAAATCGAGTTACCCGACAATGAATAGTGAATAATTTAACTGTTACGGGAATCCATTACTCAGGAATACCACCCTATTTTCAAGGCTCCTACGAGCAAGTTATCTCTCATTTAACACACGATAGATTTCTGGTGGAGTAATTTCCACATAGGATTCAATTCCTCAGGACAATAATACAGTACTGTACAGTATGTCGATTCTAAAAGAGATTCTTCATATTTGGATTTGTTTACTAAACATTCGTGTCATGATTGTTAATGGCACAAATTTGTTTCCTTAAAAGAATGCTTTGTTATGCATTTTTGTTATCTTACTTTTAATAAGACTGTAAGAGTGATTTATCAAAAATATACGAGGTGATTTGGGAGGCTCACGTCTCATGGTAGAAACACTACATTGTGTCGTGTTGTTTATATATTTTCTGTGATATGTTTTCATTTTGTGTTTCTGTGATACTTCAACAACTTTGAAATATTTTATTGATACAAGTGTTTTAAGATAATGTTTTGAATGTATCCTGTGATAAGTCATTAAAATAATGAAAATATATAGTTCTGAAATATGTTTAATTCAGATTTACCATACACCGTCAATCCAGTTATGATGAAAATGGGATGTGGAAGGAATTGCATGTTAGTGGCAATATTACTTGGTCTTACCTGAATACAGATACACTATACTCTCGTTAATTTGGATCATTATAAATTGATTACGGCTTAATTCTTATATTTCCTAAAAAATTAATTAAATTACTTGAATTCGGTAAGAATCTAAAATAACCGAGCGGTTCCGAAAAATCGTGAGGCAACCGGCTTGAAAGTCAGGCCCGTCGATTCAACTGTGCTCTTGCAGTCTGTTTTCCACTCAACCAGGAACACTCACTCACTCTGCTCATTCATTCTAACAATTGCCATCTCAGAAAATAACGGAAATACTCACGTGCCTAACCTCTCGTATCTACCACGCTACCATTGATCCATTGTATAAATTCTATTCTAAAGAAAGTTTGGGTAGTGGCAGCAGAAGGTATAGTATAGTAATTAAACAAGTGTGTAAGATTAGACAAGGATGTGATTTTCTCAGGTTTGTAGGGGTATCGAAATATTTATGTTGTCTAGCACTCAGGATGGAAGGAAACTCTAATGTGGTTTTCTTATATAATATAAGTTATATGATAGACAGTCTGGTGCTGGAGGTGCCGTGTGGTGAGGAGCTGCTCAGTAGAAGACGTTCGGTGAGTAGCGTGTTGAAGGAGGTAGATGTGCAGGAGCTTCGTTAGAGAAGATGTTGCCTGTTGCTGGCCTCCTGATTGAATGAATGCTAACAGCGTGGAGCTTGCTGGAGGAGGTGTTGCGTGTTCAGGAAGATGGGCAAGAATGAGAGTTGGTTGGTGAGGAAGCTCGGAGAAGGACAGCTGGTGGGTCGCCATGCTCGCTGGCGGGAGCGAGGACCGCCAGGCAGGCGAGGAGGAGCGAAGGCAGCCAGGCAGCGGCGGAGGAGGAGGTGTTGCTTGTTCAAGAAGAATGGTCAGAATCAATTTCAATGGAGAGACAGAGCTTATATACCCAGCAGCAGCCGCCAGTCCTCTATGAATCATGTTGGGAAAACCCAGAAAGTCGCCGGTGACTAGTTCCGTTGCTAAGATACGGTAACATCTGGTTGGTTGCTAGGGAGGCGGTAGCAGGTGGTGGCTGTGGCTACGCAGTTGTAGGAAGTTGTAGGGGAGACGTCCACTACAGGTTAATCCACAGAATAGAATATAACTAAGTAAAGCTGAGAATAAAATGAAGTAAGATTAAATCAACAAATAAGTAAGAATATTGAAAGAAATATAATAAAGAAAGAAAGGAAAGACTCAGAAAAATAAAAGAAATATGACCAAGGTTAAAGAACAAGAAATAATGTGACAACAGCCAGAATTAAAAAAGTTGACGTCTTACAGACTCTAGAACACTTTCACACCTAGGAAGGATTTAAAGACAAGATATTAGGCATTTCCTAGTTTACCTGTGTAATTAATCAAACTATTAACTACTGTAAGGCAGTTTTTAGCAATAATTTACCTTGTAATTGTCAGTAGTAGCAAATATTATAGGGCCGGAAGGGAAAATTCCTGTCGCGGAGAGAGGGGAGGAAAAATCATTAAGGATGTCAACATATGTTCGGGCAGTAAACTGTCCCTGAGTCTGTGTGACATCCCCGACGCTGTGAAGAGTCATCCACCCCCCACACAGTCACCACTCTACCACACCACGCGAAAACACTGTCTTGGTCCTCAAACCTTTGAAATTGAAACACTACTAATTATTAGGCGGATTTCGGGTGTCATATATGATTACATAGTTTTACTTGTTTGTTGTTGAGCCACTTGCCCGTTTGCTACATAGTAATAAAATATATACATTCAAATGAAGATCGTGACTTAAAGTTGTAAAACTTTTGTCCTGAATAAATCTATATAAGCTTACCCTTTACCCTTACCTAATGGTCACCCGAACTGAGGTGGTTATGCCGAGGGAAAAAGGCCAGTGGCGTGTGTAGGTTGTTGTGGGTAATAGAATAAAGAATTGTATATTTAGGAATTGTTTATATTAATGTGAAAATTATATACAATTTTGCAGAAACTATAAAAAAAATACACGAGCGAGAAAGGAATTGACTTATTCTAAAAATTTCAAAAGTTACTCCTAAACATATTTCATTTTCTCTGGTGCGGATCAGCTGACCACGGACAGTGTGTCAGTCTCGTCCACGTACACCTGCCTCACACTCTCAGTCTCAGTCAACAGTTTTGTGTTACAGTTTTTAATAACTAAAATGGGACATCTGTTCTCCAAGAAGCCTCAGAGTAAAGTGACGGAACACGATAAAGCTGTGCTGGTGTGTATATTATTTAGATTATTATTATTGAGTAAAAATATCCTGGTATAGACTGTGGTAAAGGTATGGCTGTCAGTTGTAGACGGGAGGATTTTAACCAATTTTTACAAACACTAATCATAGTAATTTATGTCAGGTCAAGTTAAATCGATTTTGTGTTTTTCAATATTACAATGTATTGTCTGGAACCATGAGAAGAAAGAATCAAATGGTAAATATTTAGTAGTTGCCACCTCTTAATTGACTTGAAAATGGGTTTTTATGGTGTAAAAATCATCGAGTCAAATACAAATATGACCTTTATTGCCGTCAGAAATGAACAGTAGTTGAGATATTAAAAAAAAATGCGGGAGGTCAAACAACATAAAAATCTCAAAAAATTAAAAAACCTAACCTAACCCCGAGTGTGTAAGAAACTTTTATTAGTAAGTGATACAGGAGGATAGACTGATACAACTTGAATAAGGAGGTGGTGTCTCCGTCTCTTACCACAGAACCATGCAGGGTGATCTACACAGTACTGACACTCTGAATTACATCTTGGACACTACAGATGAAACAAGAACACTGTAAGCTCTAAAAATGTCAATGGCTGCTGCTTCATTGTCCAAAATGCGCTGAATAATGCAACAGCCAGCCAATGTACATCCTTCACACACAGACGGCATCTTCAACTGGCTGCAAATGCTGATTAGTGCACAAGTATTACATTATATTGGCACTCACACTGATTGGCACACATGACCATGACATCTCATCAACACTCACACTGATTGGCCAAATATTATAAAATAAACGTGAAAATAACTCTAACTATGAATCTCCGACATAAACGTTATAGATTTTTTTTTCCTCTATCTCTTCATAAATGACTCAATATTCTTTTTGGTGGTTGCAACTACTAAATATTAACCAGTCAAAGTATATACTGTACTGTGACTGCTTCTTTTACTGTACATGTACAGTTGATGTTGCCTCTACTACTTACATATTAAGCTATCATACAGTTTAACCACAATTTCCTGTTGACTTAATCTACCAACATTGTCTGGAGGATGTTGAACTCAGATTAATATACCTGTATAACATTTGTTGAAGTGTATGTTACAATTGCCTAACTTTGAAGGAGATCAGTAAATTACAAATTTAATGAATGATTTAGAACTATGATTCATTCACCTAAAGGGTATTATTATTTGTAGTCAACTGATTTTGAGTCTCCTCAGGTGTATATTAGGTATATTTCTCCCCCGCACCTCGGCTTTGTTCCACTAAAGCCAGATATAGTTCAGTGATGAATTTGTTTTAACTTGCCAGACCACCACACATAGGCACTGGCATAAGGAAGTGAATTATATTAAATATTGGGAGGTTCCTTATTTATAAACACTGTGCTTAATGGTACGGACAAATCTTGCACGTTGTCCGAGAAATTGTGCTCATCGCGTCTCTTGCTCAAAGTTAGGTTAGGTTAGACTTCTCGAGATTTAATATATTCTTGGTTGTCACGAGAGACAACGTGACAAGATTTGTCGGTATGATTAGTCTCGGCCGTTTGTAAAATACAACCAGAAGAAAGCAGACTGAAAAACTTGGACACTACAGAACTGTTTTATAGAGTAAATCTCCCAAAACACTTTTTAATTAACACATAGAAACTACCATAGCTATGTAACCAGCTCATTAACCTACCATATTAACAAATTACTAACACGTCTTTGATTCATTTTCTTAATATACTAAACAACATGTTGATCACAGTCCAAGACTTTTTTGGTGGAATATTTAATAATACTATTTTATGTAAACTAATTTATTGATGCTAACAAGATTATAATTTTCTCAGCAACTAAAATCAACTAGAGACAAGATCCGCCAGTACCAGAAACGGTCAGAAGGAACAGTTGAGAAGGACAGACAACTTGCCAAAAAGCTCCTTCGTGATGGCAGAAAAGAGTAAGTAACAATAGTACTGTATTTATTTATAGCATCTAGGATAATATTTCATGGATATTCAGTTATGCTAAAAAATTTAACGATGTGGGGTACAGAATTAGTCTCAGTTTTGTCCCAAATTAAAAGTAACTTGGAGAATATTAGTCACTAAACCTATTGTTTTTTTTTCAATATCGTGCCTCTCCACAGACGGGCCAAGCTGTTGTTACGTAAGAAAAGATTCATTGAGGAACAGTTGAAGAAGACGGACGGCACACTTGAAAACATTGAGAGAATGATACAGGACATTGAGTTTTCTCAGATAGAATTGCAGGTAATGTTGTGTTATTCAATCTTCACACTGGCCAGAGGGAGGACGAAAATAACAAAATGGAATCTTAAGAGGGATGCATGAAGCAAAATTTGAAGTATGAGATATTAAAACCTTGAGAGCAGTTTGTGGTGTAGCTACTTACAATGTGAAGGAAGAGAAATATAGAAACAAATACAAAAATAAGAAGATAGGAAAGAAATGTTGTGCAGAGAGACTTTATCAAGAGTCAGCACAGGTGGTAGACATATTAAGAGAGTCGGAAGTTGAAGATTAATAAAAAAAGTGCATGATGCAGGGTTGTGTGGTAGGATGGAGGAGTGAAGGCCAAATACATGGTGCATGGATGGAGATGAAGGACATGGGCATACAAAAATTACCATAGTTTCACTGGAATTGAGAGGAAGGGTGTGCTGTTGATGGAAGATGCTGGTTTATATAGAGAAGCAGATGTGGGAGCCTTATGGTGGAGTACCAGTGTTGACAGGAACAGATGTCACTTTCTATGACAATTTGAGTTATATGAACATTCTAACTTTTTTTTATCTCTTACAGGTGGTTGACAGTTTGAAGGTGGGTAATGAATCACTAAAGCAGATCAATGAAATGCTAAGTGTTGAGGATGTTGAACGCATCTTAGACGAAACCCAAGAGGCAGTAGAAAAGCAGCAGGTATGTTGAAGTTGTTTTTGTAAATTTGTAGTTTAACCATCAAGATATACCTTTTGTATTATGTGGAGTGGATCAAGTTTACAGAAAGTTGGGGAATGGTTGAAGAAAGGGGTGGAATATGAGTGAAAATATATTAGCAAAAGTCCAAGTAAGTAGAGGTACTCCACACACACACTATCCATACCTTACTTACACAATATGAAAAGTAGTTTTTAATCTTTACATTAATTTGCAAAGTTTCAGATGGACCCACTGATACTGTAGTAATATATGAAATCTACCAATTTTTTAAACCTTAAAGATACTATGTACTGTATAGCTTTGTGAGTGGAGTCAATTATTGTGTTCATCCTTGCAGGAGATTGATGCCCTTCTCTCTGGTGGACTACTGACGGAAGAGGATGAGACTGCCGTAGAAGAGGAACTTGATGCCATTATTGCCGAAGCTGTTCAGAAGCAACTGCCAGAGGCCCCGACAGCAGTTGAAAACCCAGAGGTGTTACTTCCCGACGTTCCAGAAACTCTGCCAGGTATAGCTTCTTTAATGTTGGTCGACTGAAGTACTCATTTTATATTTTTTATTTACAATCATGTCATAAGACAGAATAAAAGGTTAAGTATATTGTCACGACAGCATGCCGTTATGTAAACAAGATTATACAGTTGGTACAGTCTCCTACATACAGTACCGGGTATTGATTAATAAGTTGATAGCTTATGATGGAATGAAAATCTAACCATGGCAGACCCACACACTCCCTGTACTGATCCCTGAAACATGTTCTTAATGTCCATGATTGTCTCATGGGAAATCAGACATTGAGTAATCGTAATCATGATCAATTACAATTGATTACAGTTTTTAAAGTAATCGTAATTGATTACATTTTTATTTTGGGCAAAGTAATCATAATCGTAATTGAGATTACTTTTACGATTACAATAGTAAGTACATACTGGTACTTTTCTTACAATACTGAGCTCTCCAAGCTTGCAATGAATTACCTTGTAGTACCAGCAACTTCAGCACCAGTTGAGAGTATTCAGTGTTGCTGGCCAAATCTTCAGGCCAGATAGGTGCCAGCTTAAACCTTCCAGAGTCTAGTTTTCATTAAGTTCATCAAATATAATACAGTAAGTTTTAATTTCCATATCCCTGTCCTGAGAAGGTGTAACCACTCAATATTTTCTTGCTGTTATTGATGTATAATATGTACTGTACGTTTTATTTGCTTAAATGAATAGCATTAGATAATTTTTATTCTTGAAACTATCTTTGATATAATGGACACAGTGTTTCTCAACCTTTGAGGTCTAATATTTGTCTAAAAAAATGAATGTTAAATTTGAAATTTAATATCACAGTATTGTTTTGATAATATAAATTTACTGAAAGTAATGCCTCAGGTATATCTGAGTATACAGTATAGAACACATTTATTTTTATCAGAGCACTAAATTACTATCCTCTTATAAGCATTTGTGTTAATAATATTCCAAAACTTATAGAACACATCAGAGTTATTTGGGTCAGATCCGTTTCTGTATTTATAATTTCCATATTAATCTTATGAAAATTTAGATCCATCTATTAAATATTTTGAATTTTTTCTTGTCTATTAAATGTTTGCCCCATTATGTTTACCAATTACATCTCTCAGAAAATATGATTTATTTGTACCAGGTTTACAAGCAGTACAGTAAATTGAGTTTTTGTAGTACGTTTGTTTATTTATGCACACTCTTTTTGAAGTAATCATGATTAAACATTATGTATTCGTAATCATAATCATAAAATTATCATGTACAGTCGACCCTCGTTAATTTGGACCCCTTTAATCCGGATTTCGGATAATTCGGACAAAATCTGAAATTTCGGATAATTCGGACAAAATTTTTTTTTTTTAGATTTGTAGGAATATTACCTATGCGGACCTTAAGCTAAAATGCTGGTCCACCCACTGCTGGGATAAAACACCAGCGTCTTTTTGGTTAAATGTAACATCTCCACCACTAGTGTGGGGGGGGGGGGATGCAACTTTTAGCTTCAGACATGAAAAATATTTACCATTTACTGCTAGTAAACAATGGAAATGTAAAATATGTACCAATTAGTAATGAAAAGTTGTGCAGTTCCTTCAGCAAATGAAGCTCACCAACTTACAATAGGCTAAATTACCTTACAACGTGTTTTCAGTAGTCTATGTTGAAGTTCTTAGCACAGGCTAACTTATCATATCATATACGGTATCACAGTTCTCATTGATCTACAAAAAATACCGGTAATAAAAACCTTTTCGATATTTCACACTTAATATAATACCCGGTAATCTACTTCAACCTCCTATTGTTTACAACGACGCATGACACACCACCAGCTGTTGAGTATCAGCTAGACGGTACACGTGTTTTTCGAATTGTTTTCAGTTAAAAAACTGTTACATCACATGTATATTTTACCTTAACTGTGCCTGAATGAATATATTCTCGGAAATAAATAGTAGTTTTGCTGAAACGTGATGTATTTTAACGTAAAATAGGATAAAATACATGACGAAAACAAAAGATTTTACCTAACCTTCCGATGTTCAAGAGAAGTTACTTGTTTTTTTAATAGTTTTCGGTTAAAATACTGTTATATTACAATGATATTCTATTCCTACTTTGCTTGATATAATACATTCACGGAAATGTAATATTTTTGCTGAAATTACGTACGTATTACTGTGGAAAGTGGGATAAAATCGTGACGAAAACAATGACTTTGAAATATAATGCAATATTAACCCCTATATCGGTTAATTCGGACAATCGGCTAAAACGGACACCCTTCCCCCCCTATTAGTCCGAATTAACGAGGGTCGACTGTAATCATAATCATAATAGATTACCTACAACTCTCAGTATCACTCAGCTTACATAAGTTTGTATTTTAAAAGTATCCCACTGTCCATTTTTTTTTCACCTTGTTGCTGTAAACTACTAAAATTTATAGACAAAGAAATTTTACCCACAGAAAAGAGTACAGACAATTCTTACATAATTCTTAATAGTTGTGGATATTGTCACTGCTGCTACCCTGCTATCCACGGACACTTTTTACCCATACATGCAGGAGTTGTAAAAATTATTATTCAATCATTAGTGGATTTTAAACAGACTCAAGATGCAGATACGGTATAGTTCAGTAGAGTCACTCGTCAGCATATTCTGTCATTAACCCCCTTATGTGTGGGGTTCCATCTCTGCTGAATAAAATCATCTGACAAAAGCTAAATAAAATATTAAAAGTGGCATCCCCATAGTGAAGGGGTTAATGTGCAGTGCTAAGACTTCATGAACTTTATTGTGGTGGCAGGAGGGATTACCACATTCTTTTAGCTGCAACCTTTTGTATCAAGGAAGAAAAACACACATTGAAATAACATTGGAGAGGAAATGGTTTTGTTTAATGATTTCTCCATGTTCTTTTTTCCAGAACCAGAGAAGGAAAAAGAGAAGCCGAGAGAAAGGGTCGCCCTGTCAGCCTCCTAATGATCGTCTTCGACATCTTTTACTCTCAGTAAGCTTCTCTAAGGTATCACTTTGTTTTGATTCTGATGATGGTTGCTTTAAGTGGACAATGGTATGTTAGCAAACTAAGTCAGATTTCCAGTGTAATTGATATTAACTGTAAAATAATTCAGAAGTTGATTGTAGTAGACAAAGAGTTTATTAGAACTATCACATGCCGATATGATTGATAACTATTAAATCAACAGTGTCCATGACTTAATAAACTGATCAGTATACAGTCATGAAATTAATTAAATATCAAACTTTTCTCACACAAGACAACTTTATATACAGGTATGTGATGGTTGAACACTCCAATTTGTTGTGTCAAAATATAGATATGATGTTTGTAAATTTTCCACATGAGTGTAATTTTAACACAAGCTAAGCATTTAAAAGAACAAGAAAAACAGTGAGAGTACTGTACATCATTTATGGCCTGGAGTAAGGGGAGTGCATGGTGCTTTATTTCTGACCATCCTACTACCAAGTAAAAGAGTGCTTGTAAGAATGAAAAGAAGATGAAGCATTTATTAGATCTCTTGAATATTTACCAGATGCTTATCACAAAAATACCATCACTAAGGTCTATCCCCATCATGCAATATGCTATTATTCACATTCTGGATCTTTTGCCTTCCAAGACTAGTGAGAAAACTCCCTCTCCTCACCCAGGACTCTTGAGTCATTGCCCTCACTGGATAATAGACTTTCTATACTTGCCTGGTCATTTCAAGCTTTACAACAGAAGATGCTATAATAATCCTTAATAATTAGGATTTACTTCTCCCATGATTAATAAAAATCAAATATATACCATTAAGTAGCTGTTGGTTGGCATGGTGTTGGTGTTGTTGTTGTTGTAAAAATCATCACTTGAATGTCTGTCATAAAATACGCTTTCCTGGCTTAGCTAATGAGGTGCCGCTGCTCGAACGCATTCAGGAATAAGCATATCCTCTTAAGTGAAGGTCCAGAAACATTATCAAGAACTAGAATTCTTGTCTCAGGATTATCTGGGGGTGGGGTTCCTGTAGATTGTCTTTACTCTGAGAAGTAGACAGATTATTCCCATGCTCCTGGATTCACCATCAGCATCCATAGCCATGTCTACACAATTTAATGTCTGTATGCCTCTGAAATGGTGTCAATAAGAATGAGCTTTGCATTTGGTGACTACTCTGGTTGTAGTAACCTTTATTTTATGGCATTCAGTGTAAAACGTGTACTGTACAGTGTTCCCTTAAAGCTCACGGTTTTAAAGCTTGCGTCCCTCGGAAACTCACTGATTAAAAAAAACCCCTCTTATTCAGCCTCTTGACCAAGGAATAATGGCTGTTTTCAAGACATATTACCTCAGTTGCAGTATTTCTAAAATGAGGGTCAGTGAACATCATCACCAAACATCATCACCACCATCATCATTACCATCACCATCATCATCTTCAGCATCAACTTTTTAGTCATCAACTTCATAATAATCATCATAAACATCATTCTTGATACATAGGCAGGGGGAGAGTTGGCGGGGGGTCATGAGGCAGGGGAAGAGTTGACAGGGATCAAGAGAAGTCAACACCTTAGTACAGTACAGAGTAATTGTTATATCATGTTTATTTATTTATATTATTTCATGTTTTATTATACTGTATTGTCTTATGCCCATCATTATATCATTCATTATATGGGAACTGTACTAATCATCATTTTCATCATAGCAAGAAGATCCAGGATGAATGGTGAGTGTTCAGAGCTTCATATATTCATACAGCACAGGTGGTTGTGTGGTGGTATTTAAACTGAAATACATAGGCCTAACCACTGACAAGCCGGTGCCAGATGCACATTGATAAACTTCTCACTCTTCCACATTGGTGATTACTTCCCATAGAGAATACACACCCATGCTCTTCATATTTCTTATTTTATAGTTTTGTAATGTATTTTCTTTACTTCTAAGTCACATTAGAGTATTGAAATGATTTTTACACAACTTTTATAATTTCATTACATGTAACAATGGCACCATGCATTACCCTCTCCCTCCCCTCTAAGGCAGGGGGGGTGGTAAAACCGGAGAGACCCTCGTGGCCAGTAGTGGAAGTTGTCAGATGCAGTACACAACCTCCCTTGCACCCCATTCAACCCATAGTGCAATCCATGGAGGGGCGAGAGATATGTGTGCATAATGTTGTTATACTTGTGCATACGGTATAGCTATTTATACTACTGAATTTTGCACACTTCAGGAACCGGCATGAAAACTCACGAATTTTGCTTTCTCTCGGGGTTTCATTTTACCAAACCTCCGTGAGCTTTAAGGGAATACTGTATGTTCAGTAAGATTTTATATTTCAGTAAAAAAATTTGCCACAACAATTATTTTCAATGGTTGTCAGTGAGATTTGTGGTCAGCTTTTATATTGGTATGTCTAGTCACCAGTTTCCTGTACTTTTATGTTTTACAGAAGTTGTGTTTCTATTTCTCTCTGTGTGCATTGTCACAAAACCTGAAAACATTATTCTGAACAGTCCAGGTGATAACATGAGTTGTACTGTGCTGAAGCTTATGAACTATGGAGTAAATTAAGCAGTTTGGCATTACTTTTTGTAACAAGTGATTGTCAGACACTTTCTATTTCACCTTGTAATGACTTACTTGTTGTCTTCAGTAATTAATCAACCTTCCTTCACCAGGTAAATAATTTGTCATTATGTTCATGTAACATTTTATTAATTGGACTTATAATCCATAAATTTCACCCTTTTTGCATGACAGTGGAACTGTTTGTGAGCATAAAAATACGTCCAGGGTCAGTGGCTGTATAATGACCAAAATGGCATTCTATCTAGTTGTAAAATTTGTCTGGGAAATTGTGACAGCAGTTGTTTTGTATCTTGCCTTATTGTAGAATGTTTTCAAGATGATAAATGTGATATATTTGTATAAAAACAAAAAAAATAGCATCCTAGAAATGTTTTAATCAACCTTAGATTTGCAGTTATTCAGCCCACACAATTGTAAGATGGTAAATATTATAACCCAGAACACAAACCTAACTTACACCCTGCATAGAATATACATTAACACAACCAAGAAAGAATTACTAAACCCTGAATTTTAATGCAAAAAATTTGGCTTAAGGTTCACGGAATAGCTCTGTGACGATGAGGTTTCCCACCATCCAGCAGCAGGATGTCTTAGCCTGTACTGTCTTTCAAACACACCAATCTCAGAGTGAATTATACCCTCTCGGTTTTTGGTTTGAAACAATGACAGAAAAGAAAAATGATGGCCAAGGTGATTCAAAGATTCTTTTTTGTACTCTGTTTATCTTGTTAGGTTTACTTTCTGGTTTGCCACACCTTCCCAACACTACTACATACTGGTTCTTACACACAACCACACAGTGACTTACTTTCCCATTACAGTACCACAACCCTAAGGATTTTGATACAGAACATGTGGGAGATGTCATACTGTCCTCTGTGAAAGCTTGCATACACTAAACCCTAGTTAATTCGACAAAGAAGGGGCTCTGGGTCACTCGAATTACTGCATAGAAAAATGTCACTTAACTGAGTACGGAATATTTGACATTAGCTATTCGACAATTTCTGAATTTTTGTTTGATTATTTTTTTCATTTTATGTTCAGTTTTTGCACCTTATTCGGATGGCTCCAAAGATAAATCCTCATTATTCCAACCAACAAATATACTGTACTCAGTTACCATGCCTTGGCAGCCACATAAAATATTCTGTTTGTAATTACTGTGCAAACATAAATATTTTTTAAATGTTTATACAGTAATAATAAAGTAAATAATACAGTAATAAATAAATGTAACATACATTGCGAGGTGAGCTGATAATGTGTAGATGATATACAGTACTGTGTATATATATATATATATATATATATATATATATATATATATATATATATATATATATATATATATATATATATATATATATATATATATATATATATATATATATATATATATATATACAGGGAGAACACCAGCGTCCAACAAGCATGCCACATGGGTAGTATAGAACAAGGTGGTGTCATAGACGTATGGGCAATACAGTAATAGTTTATGTATGGTTTTATCACAAATTGACTGTGTGCGTAACTGACAATCCTCTCTTAGTAATAATAATTTGGGACAAAGAGAGGAGTCACTTCATTAATTTTGTTAATATGTTTACTGAATTTTTTATAGATAGAAATACTTAATTTTTTATCATAAACAATATCAGTATCTACATGGAATTTTTTCAATCACTTTATGGTGTTGTCTGGTGGTGGTGGTGGTGGTGGTGATGTAGCCTCTGTCATCTGGTGTTGTTTGGTGGTGGTGGTGATGTAGCCTCTGTCATCTGGTGTTGTCTGGTGGTGGTGATGTAGCCTCTGTCATCTGGTGTTGTCTGGTGGTGGTGGTGATGTAGCCTCTGTCATCTGGTGTTGTCTGGTGGTGGTGGTGATGTGTAGTCTCTCTCATCTGGTGTTGTCTGGTGGTGGTGGTGATGTAGTCTCTGTCATCTGGTGTTGTCTGGTGGTGGTGGTGATGTAGCCTCTGCTATCTGGTGTTGTCTGGTAGTGGTGGTGATGTGTCTCTCATTATCTGGTGTTGTCTGGTGGTGGTGGTGATGTAGTCTCTGTCATCTGGTGTTGTCTGGTGGTGGTGGTGATGTGTCTCTGTCATCTGGTGTTGTCTGGTGGTGGTGGTGATGGTGCCTCTGTCATCTGGTGTTGTTCGGTGGTGGTGGTGATGTAGTCTCTGTCATCTGGTGTTGTCTGGTGGTGGTGGTGATGTAGCCTCTGTCATCTGGTGTTGTCTGGTGGTGTGGTGGTGTAGCCTTCTGTCATCTGGTGTTGTATGTAGCCTCTGTCATCTGGTGGTGGTGGTGGTGGTGATGTAGCCTCTCATCTGGTCTGGTGGTGTTGGTGGTGATGTAGCCTCTGTCATCTGGTGTTGTCTGGTGGTGGTGGTGATGTAGCCTGTCATCTGGTGTTGTCTGGTGGTGATGTGATGTTCTGTCATCTGGTGTTGTCTGGTGGTGGTGGTGATGCTCTGTCATCTGGTGTTGTCTGGTGGTGATGTAGTCTCTGTCATCTGGTGTCTGGTGGTGGTGGTGATGCCCTCTGTCATCTGGTGTTGTCTGGTGGTGGTGGTGATGTAGCCTCTGTCATCTGGTGTTGTCTGGTGGTGGTGGTGATGTAGCCCATCTGTATCTCTGTCATCTACTGTCATCTGGTGTTGTCTGGTGGTGGTGGTGTGTGCCTCTGTATCTGGTTGTTTTCTGGTGGTGGTGGTGATGTAGCCTCTGTCATCTGGTGTTGTCTGGTGGTGGTGTGATGTAGCCTCTGTCATCTGGTTGTTTTCTGTGTGGTGGTGTGTAGCCTGTCATCTGATCTGGTGTGGTGGTGATGTAGTCTGGTGTGTGTCTGATGTAGCCTGGTGGTCTGTTGGTGGTGTGTAGCCTCTGGTGGTGGTGGTGATGTAGCCTCTCATGTATGTAGCCTCTGTCATCTGGTGTTGTCTGGTGGTGGTGGTGATGTCTGGTTGGGTGGTGATGTAGCCTCTGTCATCTGGTGTTGTCTGGTGGTGATGTGCTCTGTCATCTGGTGTTGTCTGGTGGTGGTAGCCTCCTGTCATCTGGTGTTGGTGGTCATCTGTAGTCTCTGTCATCTGGTGTTGTCTGGTGGTGGTGATGATGTAGCCTCTCATCTGGTAGTCTGTCATCTGGTGTTGTCTGGGTGGTGATGTGGCCTCTGTCATCTGGTGTTGTCTGTGTGGTGGTGTCCCTGTCATCTGGTGTTGTCATGTAGTCCCTGTCATCTGGTGTTGTCTGGTAGTGGTGGTGATGTAGTCTCTGTCATCTGGTGTTGTCTGGTAGTGGTGGTGTGTGTGCCTCTGTCATCTGGTGTTGTCTGGTAGTGGTGGTGATGTAGTCTCTGTCATCTGGTGTTGTCTGGTGGTGGTGATGATGTACCCTCTGTCATCTGGTGTTGTCTGGTGGTGGTGGTGATGTAGCCTCTGTCATCTGGGTGTTGTCTGGTGGTGGTGGTGATGTAGCCTCTGTCATCTGGTGTTGTCTGGTAGTGGTGGTGATGTAGTCTCTGTCATCTGGTGTTGTCTGGTAGTGGTGGTGATGTAGCCTCTCTGGTGTTGTCTGGTGGTGGTGGTGATGTAATCTCTGTCATCTGGTGTTGTCTGGTGGTGGTGGTGATGTAGTCTCTGTCATCTGGTGTTGTCTGGTGGTGGTGGTGATGTAGTCTGTCATGGTGTTGTCTGGTGAGTGGTGGTGATGTCTCTGTCATCTGGTGTTGTCTGGTAGTGGTGGTGATGTAGCCTCTGTCATCTGGTGTTGTCTGGTGGTGGTGGTGATGTAATCTCTGTCATCTTGTGTTGTCTGGTGGTGGTGGTGATGTAGTCTCTGTCATCTGGTGTTGTCTGGTGGTGGTGGTGATGTAGTCTCTGTCATCTGGTGTTGTCTGGTGGTGGTGGTGATGTATGTCATCTGGTGTTGTCTGGTAGTGGTGGTGATGGTCTGTCATCTGGTGTTGTCTGGTGGTGGTGGTGATGTAGCCTCTGTCATCTGGTGTTGTCTGGTAGGTGGTGGTCTCTGTCATCTGGTGTTGTCTGGTAGTGGTGGTGATGTAGCCTCTGTCATCTGGTGTTGCTGGTGGTGGTGTGATGTAATCTCTGTCATCTGGTGTTGTCTGGTGGTGGTGGTGATGTAGTCTCTGTCATCTGGTGTTGTCTGGTGGTGCGTGGTGATGTAGTCTCTGTCATATGGTGTTGTCTGGTGGTGGTGGTGGTGATGTAGTCTCTCATCTGGTGTTGTCTGGTAGTGGTGGTGATGTAGCCTCTGTCATCTGGTGTTGTCTGGTGGTGGTGGTGATGTAATCTCTGTCATCTGGTGTTGTCTGGTGGTGGTGGTGATGTAGTCTCTGTCATCTGGTGTTGTCTGGTGGTGGTGGTGATGTAGTCTCTGTCATCTGGTTGTTGTCTGGTGGTGGTGGTGATGTATGTCTCTGTCATCTGGTGTTGTCTGGTGGTGGTGTGATGTAGTCTGTCATCTGGTGTTGTCTGGTGGTGGTGGTAGCCTCCTGTCATCTGGTGTTGTCTGGTGGTGGTGGTGATGTAGTCTCTGTCATCTGGTGTTGTCTGGTGGGTGGTGGTGATGTAGCCTCTGTCATCTGGTGTTGTCTGGTGGTGGTGATGATGTAGCCTCTGTCATCTGGTGTTGTCTGGTGGTGGTGGTGAAGTAGTCTCTGTCATCTGGTGGTGGTGGTGAAGTAGCCTCCTGTCATCTGGTGGTGGTGATGTAGCCTCCTGTCATCATTCTTGTTCTTCACTTCTGTAAGGTTTGAGGATACAGTATAAATAGTTATATAGACGTAATGATAAAGATAGATACACAAATTTATTAATTGACAGATAAACTAAATGACATAAATAGATGACAGAGCCGTCAGAAGCTTATTTACAGTAGAGCCTTTTGCTAAGGCTTGGTAATAGTATGTCTGCAGGAGTAATAGTGAAAGTTTCCAGATAAATTCAACAAGCATTACATTGCACTTGGACTAACCGAGGTTGGCAAATCACCTCAACAATACAATATTTTGTTGTTAATACAGAAATAGCTTCAGCTGTTATGTATTTTTTACTTTTAGCTACGAATTGTTTTACACTGTTACTGGTTTTGATGTAGCTTGGTAACTTGTTTCAGTCTTTTATAGCAGTAAAGAAGAGTGTTTTGCTTGACTGCAAACACCAGGCTATAGCGCACTTCGTTATCGCGATTTTCGTTATCACGCCTCCATCAAAATCTGCACACCTGCTGTTATAGCGCATTTTTCAAGCCGAGAATTTCGTTATCACGCAGTTGCCTCCAGGTGTTTTTACCCATTTGCTTCACCTACATCTATTGAGGATAAAATCTTT